CATAGTAAACATTGCATGAAAAATAGGAATGTCTTGAACAAGAAACTTCTGCATCTAGCAAATCAATCCAAAGTCTTGAATTCTCAAGTATTAAATTTTTCTACGCTTTTGAAAAGGTCATACGTGTCCAATCAACATCATGCATGCATGTTAAGGTTTGAAGTATAAGTGGATGAGTGAAAGGTCTAGGTGTTGAGCAAGAGAAACTGAATCTGATCAATTTTCAGGACTGAGAAGTTTCAAGAGCTGCTTGAGTGACCTTATCATCACTTGAGCAACCTTGCTTATAGTTAGATGACCAGAGTTTTATAAATAGGATTATGCACGTATCTTTGTATTCCAAACCCTTTTATTCACATCCCAAGCCTCCATATACCCTAATCTTAGCCTCTAAAACTTTTCCTAATACCTTCTTTACAAATCTTAGATTGATTCTGGATAGATTGCGAGGGTGATTGTCGAGATGGCCCCAAGAAAAGAGGAAAGGCTGAGGGTTAAGGATGTTTGTTGTTCTATTGAGTAGAACTTTGATGAAGCTACTCGGTTAAGTACATAGGAGTTCACAAAGAGATTCAGAAGAGAATTCTCTCATAGACCAGTGTTGATCAAACGGGGAACTACCACCATAGAGGTACCTACTTCTCTTTTTACAAATTTGACAAACTGTGGATGGGCTTGGATGGTCCATGATCCTGTGACTTCGACTGATAGCATTGTGAGGGAGTTTTATGCACATATTCAAATTGCTAATCCCGATCCTCTTATTGATCACTTCGTCATATATATTAGAGGTATTGTGTTTACTTTTTCTACAAAGCTCCTTGCAACCACACTGGATCTACCTAGGGTTGATAATAATTACCCTAGTGCTAAACCGGTTGAACTATTGCCTCCTCTCCATGTGATTGCTACTGAATTTTATGGTAATGATCATCCTGAACACTAGGTCACACAAAACTACTTTCAAAAATCCTTCATCCCAGAGTGCAAGATGCTTAATCTTGTGGCAAATTACAATATTGACCCAAATACCCATGTTTCTAACTTTCCTGCTCCTTGAGCTTAGATGCTTTATTCCATAGGTAAATGGATTAGTCTTGTTTTGTGTATGTTGATATCTGGGTATATACGTAGAGCCTTTTACACGGTCAAGTGACAGATCTATTGCCGTTGGATCATTAATCACTTGTATCTGCCAAGGGAAGAGTGTTTTAGTTCTAGGGAGTGACTAGTTGCAAAACACTATGAGAGCCTCAAATAAGAGTTTCGTGAAATTGAGTAAGGCTTAGGGAGACTACATTGAGGAGAGATGAGAAGCAATAGGAGATTCACATGTGATTCATGTGACTAGTACGTCTAGGACAACACCTCCTGAGTTTGGCTTCAAGATCTTTACAACTACAATGGCATCACTTGCTGATATGATGGCCAGGGTTGAGCACATGATGACAAAGCATTATCGCCTGACTTCTCAGAAATTAGATACGTTGATGGCAAGATAGTGAGCCTTGAGGAGACCCAATAGACAATGATGAGAACTATCGTACGTAGAGTGGGACGACTTAGGAGGTTGTTGAAAAGGAAGCAGATTGCCAGAGATCTAGTGCCAGATGAAATGGATTCAGACATAGAGATGCCCCGAAGCAACAGAGGAGATAGTGGAGATGCAACCATTTGAGCTATGACTTTAGAGACATAGTATTAGGTTATATGTAAACATGAGATTGTTTTATTTATTCATGGCCTGTAATAAAGTACTTTGTTTATTTTTCTTTGTTTAGCTCTTATTTGTTGTTGTTGTGACATACTCTTGATCACATGCTTGATTGATTATCATATTTGATCATTGAATTATATGTCTTGTTTGTCTCTTACTTAGTCTATATGCATGGGTTAGCTAGTTGTTATGCATTCATACCTTCTTGTTATTCCATCTCATGGTTGTTATGGGTCGTTATTTCATTGAGATATGTGAAAAATAAGATAAGAATATGTTAGGTGACTTGATTATGTACTGTGCTTGTTGCTTGTTTTCATTGGGTTGGCATTTGTGACAAAAAAATAGGGAGAATATTTTTGGTACATATGAGAGTAATTGAGGAGATTTGCTCTTTACAAGGTTAGATATGTTGCATATGAACATAGAAAGGGGGAGTTTGTAGTTCAAATACTCAGGAGGAGTAAATTTGCAAACTTGACATGATGTCACATTTTTTTTTTCACTTGTTATTTTACTTGTGAACACCAACTAAGGGGGATAACTTATTATGTTTTGAATTGATAAATCAATTGGTCCTCAAGCATATGAGGCAAATTAGTTTGAACATGTTACATATTTGCACTTGCATTATGTATAGATATTTATGCTTCTCTTGGTGCTTTTCATACCTATGATTACGCGATTTATTTATCTAACATATGATGTGTTTCACGAGGTTTTGGTTTGAGTGGTGATGTGCAGGTTTATGATCTTCAATCTTTATCCAAAGATATTGATCCTTATACTAGATAGAGATTAGGATGTATACATGACAACATGAGTATTGAAATTCAATTTACAATTCTTTTGTTCAATGGTTTAGGTTTGTAATCTTTATTTCAAATTTGTATGTTTTGTCAAAAAATTGCCAAAAGGGGGATATTGTTAGATCATGTGTTTGTAGTTAGTTAATTTCGTGGTAATTGTTAGATCATTGTAAAATCTCAAGCATTTTCATAGTCATGATATTATCAAGTTCAAGATTCAAAAACATCATTAAAAAGAGAAGATCAAACATGAAAGCTATATCATTCAACCTCCATATGCACTTTCATGCTTAGGACAAATGTAATGACACAGACACCTAAGATGAACTCTTAGTTATTTTAACTTAGGTTAATTAGGATGAAAAGGGAATTAGAAGTGATCTGATTATGACTCCTAAGTGATTTTAAAACAAAAAAGAATTTATAAACCATTTATGAGTTTTGAAAATATAGTTTGAGTTACAATTGGACTTCTCTTTGAGCAACACCCTTAAGTACTCAAGAGGTCAAATTTTTGCATAGTTTGACTTACCAACCTATAGGACCGACCAATACTTGCTATCCTTCGCTAAAGAAGTATCTTGATGACTTAGGATAAAAAAAAAAAAAGTTGTGGGAGATCAAAACAAGGCTCACTCTATGAGCAAGCTTGAACGGTTCCAAGGTCACTTGAGTGATGCCGATTTTCAAGCTATATTGAAAAATTTTGGAAAAAAAAATGCATTTGATTTGGAGTGTATTATTCTTTCTTAATGAGCATGAGATTTTCAATTAATGCGCTTGAAATTTGAGTCAGTTGCATAATAGCACACTACATGAGTTTTTTCTATGATTAAGTACAATGTTCGTGTTTTCATTTGAAACTCACCCTATGTGCACCATGAGTATACAAATTTTTGTGGTTTATTGAATGAGATTCATATCTTAAAAGGCTTGACATACATAGTGGACATGAATGTATTACCCTTGTGAGTTTTGTGGCATTCCTTGTTGAAGGTTTGAAATAAATTTACTCAATTGACAATTTTTTCAAATTCAATATCTTTCAATAATCTTATTATTTTTGTTTTGGTTAGTGTAAAGGAGGTAGTTAGTTAACTATATCTCCATGCAAAAGAGTACCTAGCCACACTTTTTTTGGCAATGATCTTAGGCCATCATTGAATTAAGTTAAGCCTTAACATATTCTTTATTGCCATTGTCTGTACTAATTGTGATTGAGTTTTATTGCAAATTTCATTTCTTAAGCCACATGATTTACCAAACCAAGCATAAATGTGGTTAACTTACCTTGGTTATCCCGAGACTACTATTGTTTACAATTTGGAAACTGAATGGTGGTTATAAGAAAGAAGAGAAAAAAAAATAGTGACAGAAAGGTGGATGATGAGTATTGAGCTTATTGTTCACATTCAAAAGCAAGGAAAGAAAGAAAAAAGAATAAAAAAAGGAGAAAAAGAAAAGGAAAAGGAAAAAAATTTGTGAAAAGGCAATGAAAAAGGGGGAAAGATAGATAAATGAATGTGGTGAGCTAATTGCAAATGATGAGATGTGGTTGGTAAAGTCATATACGCAGGATAACTCCTTTTTGAATCCCTATTTCCCTTCGTTTCTTTAGCCTTCAGTCAAGGCTACATTACAACCAAATTAAAGTCCTTTTTTATCCTAAGAAATGGTGGTGAGTGTATGTACTGAATTATGCTAATAGATAGATCAACTGTATTATTTTCATTTGCCCTAGCATTCATTTCATGTGATTATGTCAAAGTCGTTTCATTTGTATAATTGTTCGTCATTTCCACATTATATGTGAGCTATGCTTTGTTTTGAATTATAAGAATCTGTACCATATATAGACAATGAGTGAAACATCATTATAATCGGTTTTTCTTTATTTTGAGAGAAAATCTTTGGTGAGTTTTGCATCAAAGCTAAAATTGGATAGCTAACGTAGATGTGGGTTTTATTTGATAAATCTCTTAAATTGTACACTCATTTCACACACTCATGAGTCTCAAGTGGAAGTGGGGAAGTCAATACTTTTTCAGAGCATTTAAATCTAAGTGGCAGCTTTTGTATAAATGCCTTGGGTGGAGAGGGAATTTTTTTTAAAATCTTATTGTTGATTAAGATATTATAATATGTTCTAAGTTTAGAAGGCGGTCGAAAGAAGTTTCTAGATACCTTTATTGGAAACCTTCCAGAGAGATAACTCGTCTATTAGGGGTGACCTAGGGTTTTAAAGGCTTGTTGTATTTGTTAAATACAATCCTGTATCTTATGAAAGTGGTGTTTAGGTGTGTTAGTGTTGGAATTGAGTTAGAAGATCATGGAAAGCAAATGGAAGAAGAGGATTGGAATCCGGAGACGAAAAGCAAACATAAAAGAGCTGCTAGAACTGGTACAACAAGAACCGGTTTTTTAGAGTCCAGAGAGCTTAGAACTAATTCTACCATGCTAGTACTAGTTTTACGATGTCCGGGGAGCTTGGAACTGGTTCTAACGTGTTGGTACTGGTTCTACCACCAGCAGAAAGCTTAGATCTTGTCCTTCACACTAATTCGGTTCATGACGTCCCGGGTTTTTATTTCTTGGCCGAGAAGCTACTTCCATCGACTTGCACAACATTCATGTGAGCGCTTCCATTGGACGACACTGAAGGGGGAAATTCTTTGAAAAAACATTCACCACCCATGCCACTCACCTTATCCAATGAGTAGGAAGGATGGAGATGCCACTATATATACATACTCGTATAGATATTGAGGAGGGAGGCTTAGTTTTGATTTCTAGTTGTGAGTTTTGCTTAAGCTTTTTACATTGTAAGAATTTTGTTGGGTTATGGAGAAGACAATCGGCAGGATTTTAATTTAATTTTCAAAAGCTCTATTTGTATGATTTTTTTTTGGACGTAGTTATTTGAAGCTAATCTAGTGGAGAGAACTTCTTTCCATCTTCTTGTTCATTTTCATTAGTTTTACATGTGGTTAAGTTTTGACTTGATGAGTTTTACTTGCGGCTAAGTTTTGGCGCAATCTGAGGGATTTCCGAGTGATTCTCTACTGATTCATCTGTAATCAATCCATAGTGTTGGTTCATCCGTAATCAATCCATAGTGATTCTCTACTGATTTCTGATTGATTGAATGCTTTGTAGAAGGGACAAACCAACTTTAAAAATTAGTTTTTAAGTGACACTTTGATTTTTTGTGGACGATTCGTATGGCACGAGTAATACTTGAAAATCATTATACATCTGAATGGTTATCACTCTATCTTCCATTCCCTATCTTTAATGCTAAGTATTATATAAACTTGGTTTTTGTTGAATATTTTTCGTTCGAGCAAGTTTGAATACAGCTTAGAATGGGTTAAAATTGAGAACCTAGATGTTTGATTATGGTGAGTTAATTCCTGAGGATTAGCTGACTGTTTTCTTCTTGATTTTAGTACACTAGAATTAATTCCTACATTTTTATACAAATCAAAGGATTTTTACTTTTTGTTGCACACACATCACCAATAGGATTGCCTTTGTTCCTTGAAGAGGCGACCTCGGATTTCTAAGTTACTACATTGCACAACTTTCTTATGCTTGGAAAATACATTACAACATTTTGAATAGGGTTGAACATATATCATTGGATAGCAAATAAAAGAGAGATTGTGGCAGACAAGCACCCCCCCCCTCTAAGTCTAGTGTCTTAGTCTTCACATGTATAATCGTGAGGAAAGATCCATATCGAGTTTCCCTTCCTAAAATAACACCATTGAAGCACCTCGTGTTCACCTTAATATCACTTTCCAGGAACTGTGTTGCTGCTTGCTTGAATTCTTAAACTTTGGCCATCCAAAGCTTCACGTCATCTCGAATTATTCTCCACTCCTTATTGTTGCATCAATGGAGTTCTGCACCCTTTTTCTTAGGCTTTATAATTCTTCCACTTTGGTTTTCAGTTCTCCAATGTTTTTCTTGTAATGAATGAGATAGTTGAACTGACGCACGATTGACAACATTGTATAATTTACAATTTTATCAAGAATGGAAGAAATCACAACTTCTCCAGCCATGTCCAAGGAGAATTATTTGAAGAAAAAATGGATGCAAGCTGCAGAATGAAAAAAAACCTCTCAATATCAAATTTAATATTTACCAGAAAATCACAAGATTGAAGTCAGGCTACATAAATGTCCTAGGAGACTTAATCACTTTTTTTTTTCAGTTTAGCTTAGAGCTGTTTACACACTATGTGTTATTAAAATTAGATTATGAATAATGGATGTCCATCTCAAAATACACATCGTGGACATATTTATAAGGGGTTGACAATCAAGCTATGTCGTTTGGTATTCAGATTGTATTATTTTAGATTTATATCTCGTATCAATTGACCCTAATCCGAATTATTTAATAAATCATGTTGGATGTTTGTACACTAATTCGACCTTTTACTATCATTTTGTGTTTTGATTTGACATACATAATCCTGTGAATCAAGAACTTGGGACCAGGATGTCATCCTCTCTAAATGAAATCCACTACCCATGTCTCCCATAAAAAAAAAAAAAAAAGAAGCAATCTATGCATGTAGTAGGAAAATTAAGTAAAAATTATGTAATTTTGTGGGATTTATGCAATAGGTCATAAAAGAATGGAAAAAAAAAACAAATATTTTTTGTTAAACAAGTTTGTCGTGTTAAACTCGAGTTATTTATATCAGTGATTACCTAACATGTCTATTATCCATGTTAACAGGTCATATTGTTTTTGAGTTCTTATTCAAAATTAGTCAGTACCAATCCACTAATTTCATGTTGGATTCGGATTGGGTAAAAAATGGCATTAGTTCATACTTCTGAAACTTTTTCACATAAATTACCAAAGAAAATTACAAAAATTATATCAAACTATCAAACAGCATCGTTTACTAAACTGAGACACTTGTTCAAATGACAACAAAGCTCTAGCCATTTTATTCCATAAAGTTTCGTAATCCAAACAATAGAACTTGATGGTGGAAACTAACGTGTATGAGCAAAAGATTAAAATTATGTCTTATAGTGCAAGTATGAAAATGAAAGGGATATCTTGGGACTGGGATGATTGACACAGGAAAAATATAGTGGTTCACCAGTTCAGGAGCTCGGCTAATCCACTCTTCAATGAGACTCTTGCTCCTTATATTTCAATATAGAATATAAGGTTACAGTTGCTTCTTTATGCCTCTAGGGTTCTCTCTCTTCACTAGAGGTGTTGCTTAGTATTTATAGGGCTGTTCCTAGATTGGTGGGATCTGCACCGAGATCTTTGCTATTCATCTGAGTGATTCTCCATAATTTTTGGTGAATATCTTGGTTGGTTGAGTATCTTGTGCCTTGAATATTCCTCTTGGCCAACTGTGGGATCCTTGCTAATATCCAGCTGTCATCATATGGTCCCCAGCTGTTGCCTTAGTTGTGGGGAGCTCTGACTTTGATCCCCCGAGCTCCGAAAAACATGCCTGACCTCTCTGGCCAAGCTCCTTGTCTGAGCTCACACTTAGGAATTATTTAGAGTATCATCAGTTTGGAGTATTATCAGTTGCCCCCCAGCTCTTGGGCAAGAGCTGTTCTTCAATTAATTAAAAAATAGAGGACCTCCCCTTAATGACCTCGAGGCACGTGCAAGCAAATTGACTGTTACAAGTAATCATTTCCCTCCTTGTTTCTTGCGTTTGTTACTCACTTTGAAGCCCCTAGTGCCATTAGTTTTAAATGCCTCTGATTCAGCATTTACTTCTTCACTCTTCAAATTCTCTTTGGCTTTCCTTCTCTTCTCTTCTACGTCTTCATCTTCCCCAATTCGCTATAGCTCCTAGGGTTTTAACCAGAGAGATAATTTTCCCAAATTGACCCGAAGGCTTTAACGAGGTTTGCCTCTTCGTTCTTCACTTCGAAAGATTAGGTACGTTTTCTTGCCCTTCTCCGTGTTTCTTCGCCCTAGACCCCTCAGATTTGAGGTGGTTATTGCATTTTTGGACCTTTCGATTTTGCTATTTTAGGAACCAAGGCCAGTCTCTGTATCTCATTCCCCTGTTCTTAGACCCTTATTTGACCGCTAGGGTTGTCTTTATTAGCAGTTGTTGTGTTGCCCCCCAGGCTCTTAGAGAATGTTACGCAAACATTCATCCCCTTTATCGCACCTTTAGACTCCCTTTTTCTTGCCCAACTATGTCTACTTCTTTTGGAGCAACACCCTCCTCAGTTTCCCTTCTAGGTGATAGGTATGTTGAGGAAGATGTTGATTTAGGCGATGTGGGCATGGAAATTGATAATTTTCCTAGTGTGGACATTGTTGATGTTGGGGTAAAAACTGAGGAAACTCCCTCAACCTCCTCCCCTGTGCTCACAAAACTCGACAAGGGTAAAGGCAAAGCGAGTGGCATAGGGGTCTCTACTGCAGGCGTCGGGGTTGCTTTCAGAAATGCAGAGCTCGTGAGCCCTAGCGAGCTTACCCCTCCTCTTATGAAGGTTCTTAGTGCTCGCTTTAGTTTTCCTCCAAGAGTCCAGTTTTGGTGTCCTGATGAGTTCACTCCATATGTTTCTCAAGTCCACAAGAAGGTCTGCTTCTTTGTGCCTGCTTTCGATAATGATCTTCGCTTTCCTTTACGCCCCTTTATCAAAGGCGTTCTTCAACAGTTCAATGTTTGCCCTTCCCAGCTCTCCCCTAACTTCTAGAGTGTCTTAGTAGGTCTGCTTGTTTTCTTTAAGAACCATAAGCTTGGGGTCTCCATCGTTTCTCTTCTCATAGAACTATTTAACGTTAAACAAATTTCCTCAGATGATTTTCTTTATATCTCCAAACGAACAAAGGCTAAACTGGTTATTTCTGACCTCCCGAGATCCCACAAAGGGTTGGAAGAAGCTCTTCTTCTACGCGGGGGGTACGCAGTGGGAGTTCAATCCAACAGATAAAATAGACACTCTAACTATCCCTAGGGCTTGGTCTGTCCCGGATAACTTGGGTAAGTCTCTGCCCAAGCCAGACTAGGATCTGATTTGGTGGTCTTTATTGACTTTGCTCTGCTTCCATTGTTTACCAGGTGTTCGTCCCGAGCTTAGTGCTGAGGAGGAGTGGATACTGCTGAAATTGGAGAAGTGTGATTCAGAAAAATACTCTGAGCTCATCAAGCCTTGGGTTCTTGTAGAGCACGGGTTCTACCTTCCCGAGGTGATGATAGAAGCCCCTGTCCCAATCTCCATTATTAGAACTGAGGAGATAGCTGGTGGTGCTTCCTTTCCTTATTCTTAGCTTCTTTCTTTCCCATTTTAAAAGAAAATGCTCATCTATTTTTAGGCTTTTCCAGGTTCTTCCTCGATGGAGCCTATCCCAGTTGAACTCCAAGCCAAGGTTTTCCAAATGATGAAGACCAGGAGTGGTAACAAACGCAAGTAAGGATTTGGCAATGGCTCCACCCCTTTACCCAAAGTACCAAAGATGAGTGTGCCACTAGCTCCTCCCGCTTCAACTACCAACGATCCTTCTCCCTAGGGCGCCTTGCTTGCCACTACAAGCGTTCCTAGGCTAGGACAGTTCTCTCCTTCCTCTTTTAAGGTCGAGAGAGTCTTGGAAACGACCACCCGAGTTTTGGTT